TGGCAACTGAGTCTCCAAAACGGTGTTGTCGACTATACTGCCAGTGTCGAGTGGTGACGGCAAAATTAATGAACCGTCGAACTTAACTTTGCGGTAATTTTTAGTTGTTAGTAGCTGGAATGACAAAACAATTGGGTTAGTAAACATAGACATTATCAACTATTTTATTGTATATATACAGTGGTGTAAAAAATAGTTGAGGGACATACACAATACAGACAGATATGAATATATGTACATCATTTACATCATTGAACACCGTCATATTTTAATTTCATTTTCATTTATAAATTTACATAAACAATTAATTATATTTGTGGGAAAAGTGGGTTAAAAGGAGGTGGAAACTGATTGGGAGAGGGATCTGGATTCCGGGAAGTTTTTTATAGAGGTCAAAGGATTGAGAATTTAAGGGACATGCAAAAAAGATGTGATCTAAAGTTCCCTCATCAAGGCCGCATTCGCACAGCGAGCTGTCGCGGACGCGGATCTTGCTGAGGAAGACCGGACTACTGCAATGGCCGAGTCTGAGCCTGCACAAGGATGAAACAGTATGACGGGGAAGCTTGGGGTACTTGGAAAACCAAGGTTTCCGTCGGATGCCGGGCTGGACAACTGCATAGTAGGCTCCTTTATGTTGGGACGTTTCTACCCACACTGCAGTCCATGAGTCAATTATTTATTTTGTATTTGTGGACGTTTCAAAAGTACCAAATTATGGTTTAACTCGTCGAGTACCGTCATTATAGACACAATTAAAGAACAATAGGTTGCGGTCACCGGTGACCGCTCGGTGTTTGACAGTTTAATTGAAATAAATGCTTTGACTTTGACTTTATACTTATTATACTTTTTGGTGGCAAGCGATGATGCTGTCTACGATGGAGCAACCTATTCACTCGGGCCTTGAAGACACCCAAGTTTATAGGTACCTTTCAGGAAATACAGACATGAACTTTCATGTTGTTCGACACATCGAGAATTGTTTTTAAACTCTCCTTTGATTTCTAAATGTTTTACGAGTGGGCCCACTTTACCCAAGGTCATTCTGGCCCTATCTATCAATTAAAAATTATGTCTAGAAATTATTAGAGGTCCTAGCTCTTAAGCTAGGACCTCTAATTTTCGAGGTATTGCAAGATTTTCGATAAACCATGATAAAATTGAAAATTATTAGTATACAAAATTATTTTACTAATGAATTTAAATTATTTCTGTGGCTGACATGAAGATAGTGATGATGATAATGAACATAACACACCATTACGCCTTTTATCCCTGAAGGGGTACCCAGAGGTGCGCATTATGCCACTGTACAATGTAACACCCACTTTTCAATATTAATGTTACGAGTCCCATGTAGTAGGGGGTGAGCCTATTGCCATTTACCGGGCACAATTCCAGACTCCATGCTACTACTGAGGATTTTTTAAAAACCCAGTAATACTTTGCCGGACCCGGGAATCGAACCCGAGACCCTTTGCCCAGCAGTCGCACTTGCGACCACTCGGCCAACGAGGCAGATGATAATGAAATAGGTAATAAATAAATCAAACAACAATTGGTATTATAAACATTGCATTTTATTCGCTGCACTCACTTCATACAACGCCAAAACAACATAATAAGTAGAGTAGAACAATCTGACATTATATTATACATTCTGAAATGTATCTGTTAATTTTTTATGACCATGACAACTTCTAACATTTTCTGGTAATATTAAAAAATGTACTTTATTATTAGTGGCATAAACATCTATATTACTAAACTCTAGCTGAAGTTTTAACGATATAGCTAATACCTTCAGTCAACATAGAACTTAAAGGTTATAAAACAATAAAGTACATTTTTCAATACTCCAAAAATAATCATCGGATCCCATTTTTTGCATTTTACAAAAAAATACTACTAAGCATTAACAATAGTTAGAAAAATGCAAAGGAAATTTGGCAAAATGTATATAATCAATATATAACTTGGAACGCAATGAAAGCTATTAACAACAACAGTTTGGTGACAATACAGTACAGACTAAATAAAACCGCCTATATATATATATAAATATAGCCTGCCGAACGTTGCACACCGTAATAAATTACATTTTAAAACATTAGTCTACTTAATTCTAAGTTAAATTTGATAGATATGGAATAAGACAAAAATTATTTATATTTTAGGGGAGAACTAAAAGTATCGTACATTGACTTGATTCGATTACTACCGATATCCATGGGATTATTTTTAAGGGTGGAAAATCCACCAATTCTCCCGCCTGAGTGAGGCGGAAGGGAGTGTCAGACTCTTACTGACTAAAAACCACCCCGTTCCTTCTCCTGCACTTCGAGCCGGAACCACGGTAACCCGTTAGGTTTTCCGCGACTCCGAATCGGCATCAGCCCTATTGGGTGGTGGTCTGATGGCTCTTTGAGGCGCACGCGATATTCATGGGATACGGAACAAACAGACGGTTCACCTGATGGTAAGCGACCAGCGCCGCCCATGGACACCCGCAATACTAGACGATCTGCAATCTTGCAAATCGACACGTTCATGACGATCGGTGCTCTGATTGGCCTACTCCAATAAACCAACCAATCAGAGGGCTAAACGGGGTAACGTTTAATATGCGCTCTTTTTTTGAAGAGTTTGTACCATCTTGTGCGAGCGAGATGCAACATAATTTACCGTAGAATGACAGAGACAGGATATAAAAGGTAAAGTTACATTCTTCTAATTCATAATAAGATAAATAATAATTGACAAAACCATCTAAGGATGAGGGAAAATAAAAAAATAACAATATTTTGCTACATTCGTGAATATCAAAGAATTTTAAAGTAAATAGAGATACATAACAATAATATGTATTAACACAACACTTATTAATTTATCACATAGTTTCAATATTTTCAATTTTCACTCAAGCTAAGCCTATACCAACCATATCACTTAGATGACTATTATAGATAAAAAAATTGAGAAAATTCTAGCAACGATCTATAGCTATTTACTATTGTAAATGACAAACGGTTATTCATGTTAATAACTAGTTATTATATAAACATGTTATTCATTAACTTTAATGGGTAATCGTTTATAATATTGCTTAAAAAACAGATTTCATAAACAACGGAGTTTAAGACGGTTTAATTATAAGGATTGAAGTCATGAATATAATTATAGTATTTAAAAGTTTTATAATAGCGCAGAATCGAAGTGTTTTTCCAAAACTGAACATAACAAACAGCTTTTGAATTTTTATGTTCAGTTTTGAAAACACGTGGGATGCGCTTCGTCTCTGCACTAGTATAAATTGAACCTTATTTATCTTTCATCAACCAATAGCTAGCGGCAAGGCACGAGATCGTGAAATAAACATAGTGGTACATCCTAATAAGTACATAATATTTCTTTCTCGAGATTTGGAAATATTTAGATTCTAGGAAATAATATTTATGAAGGAATCGTTGTTAGAACTTTAGTTTATGACCACCAGAGAGGTAGGTACATACATGTGTACTAATGAACAAGTCAGTCCTCAGTGGGGTGAGTAGGGGTGTACAAATGTAACAACCACTTTTCATCATTAACATTCATTGTTAAGTATCACGGAGAAAGAGACGAGAGACTGACAGTTTGGAAAAGATATAATCACGAGAAAAGACTGCCTCGTTGGCAGAGTGGTCGCAAGTGCGACTGCCGGGCAAGGGGTCTCGGGTTCGATTCCCGGGTCTGGCTGAATACTGCAACGCTACTCAAGTTTAAGTTGTACTTAAATATCGTGTTAACTATCCTGCTATCACACCTTTTACCCCCGAAGGGGTAGGCAGAGGTGTACATTACGGCACATAATGCCACTGTACAATGTAACACCCACTTTTCACTTTTCATGTTATGAGCCCCATGTAATAGGGGTGAGCCTATACCGGGCACATTTCCAGACTCCGTGCTACTACTAAGATTTTTAAAAAACCCAGTAATACTTTGCCCGACCCGGGAATCGCACCCCTTGCCCGGTAGTCACACTTGCGACCATTCGACTAATGAGGCAATCATATACTTGAGACACGACCTTCAGTAATGCAGAAACGAAGACAAAAGTAAAAAATCATGGAAGAGAATGGTAAATGGCTATAACAAGTAATTATGGAAGAACAATATTGAAATAAGTTTAATATATAGTTTACCAATAAAATGTAGATAACAGCCATTCAAAATACCACAATTTATCAATTTTTCTAATCCATTTTCAACCTTATTAACCTAGGTAGTTGTGCGAAAATTCAATGTAGGTAACATCTATTTTTTATCAGTTATATTATGAATCCCTTGTAAAAGAAGGCAAGCTTTTTGCCTTACTCCTGAGACCCACTGAGATCTGGAATGAACCTTATTCTTTCGCAATAAAGTTAAAAATTAATTAAAAATAATTTTGACAATTTGTGGTATTTTGATGAGCTGCCTATACAAGATCAAACGCTTAATATATTGGACAGATTATAATTAATTATATTACAACTATGAGCAACTTATGAGCGAGGTCGGATCATACACTAGTGTTGCCAGACCTACTTACAAAGTTCAGCTGTTTATTATTATACTTCATACATACATTATCCAAATAATTATTTATACGTTTATGTTAGTAATAATTATATGCATATCAATATTGTATTCTCATTTTCCAATAAAAAACCTCAATCAGCTACAAGACAAAAATATTCACAGACGGTACACAGGTATTGCCAGACGAAAAAATCCCTAAAATACAATATGTAACTAGACGATAAAATTAAATAAATATAATTCACAAGATATGTCAAATTGCTTTCAACTTATCGGACAACATTGAAATCGGACGACCGACACGACAACCATACGTGCGACAATCTAAAAAATAAACACAATAATTAACATCACCTTATAAAAGATGCGACTTGTCGTACGACAAGTGTGACCGTTGCGATCAGTCGTGTCGCAAGCGTCTACATGATGTGTCAAGCTTGCGGCGGCTCGTCCATTGGGTTGGCCCGCGGCAATTCATCGTTTTGCGTTTCTTCGCGCGTTTCTGGGAATGTCGCAGACGACGATCCGCTGCGACTAGTCGACGTTGATGTAGCGGTCGACGAGTCGCCGGCTTGCGTGCTGTTTGAGTCCCTGTAAAGTTATAGTAACTTATTCTTTAGGCAATAAGCAGTCGGGGACGCATGGTAGTTACTCTAACGGTTTTTATTTAGGACAAGCCCGCCATAACCTCCCAAAACCGCTGCAACTCCTGTAAGCCAGGATCTACAGTATATACAACCATGACAACACTGGAACACTGAAGTCCGGCGCGTCTCAGGAACATGAATAACTGTCTTGGTTACCGCAACGAAGTGAATCAGAAGATATTATAAGAGTAGACGAAAAAAACGATAGTTTCCACTTTACTCGGTTAATTACTGCAGGAGACAGAATGAATTAAGCCTAAAGGCACAAAGAAGAGACCGTACAACTGGGTGAAGTCCAGTCGCCAAGCACCACGGAAGTTGACAAAAAGCTAAGTGGGTCCTACTATAACGGTTTGTTAAAAACTTCAAATTGAATAGTGCCGATTATAGAATCAGTATTGAACGAGTCACCAAAAGTCTTGTTTGAGCAATTACTTATACCGATACTTATACTTCTTTCCAAGCAAAATAAACAAATGTCTGTGAAACTTCTGTATGTGTACTGATACACTTACTTATGGAACCCGTTGGTCTGGCATGTGTTGTAGGCCCCGCAGTGTTGGCACTTCAGACCCACCACGTGGAACTTTACCGTCGATAACTGAAACATAATATTATTTAATTACATGTTACTGACATATTATTAATAACATGATACCTTACCAATGGGAAACCTACTCCTGTTAATAAAAAAATATGTAAATCACCGAAGGACAAGCTCCAGTTTTCTCTTAAGTTGCTGTAATCCCTTCAAATTTGAAGGCAAAGCGAGCTCTGCTAACACTTATGGGAACTACGAAAAAACTCTTATCTTAAGGGAGCCCTTTGTTCAGTCGTGAATATATTCTGGATAATGACAACAGGATGCTATTATTGCTCACCTTATGACAATCCTTGCAGAGTATGGTCGCCTTGTAGTCCGCGTACTCCGGCGGCATCGGGGTAGCTGCCACTTCAGAGTCTAAATAACTCCACAACTGAAAATAATATCATGACATTAGGACTAAATTACAACTCTGCTTTTGGCAGTCAGATAAAAAATCCAGCTTATTTTTTTTAAACACAAAATAGTTAATACAGTAAATTTTTCGTCTATAATAAGTCATCACGAAAACACCGAAATATTATCCCGGATTCCGTAACGAAAGAAAACCGAAGATATCATTTCAGTAGAAGAATACGAATAGTTAATGAAAAAAACTTAATGTACTTATAAATCATTTTTTGCTGCAGACTGCCTCATTTGCCGAGTGGTCGCAAATGCAACTGCCGGGCAAGTTCGGGTTCGATTCCCGCGTCGGGCAAAGTATTACTGTGTGTAAAAACCTCAGTAGTAGCACGGAATCTGGAAATGTGGTATATGGCCATAGGCTCACCCCCTATTACATGGGACTCATAACATAGATAGTGAAAAGTGGGTGTTACATTGTACAGTGGCATAATGTACACCTCTGCCTACCCATTCTGGGATAAAAGGGGTGATGTTATGATGATGACGATATTATATCGAATTCCACAACGAAACAAAACCAAAGATATCATTGGAATTGAAAAATACGAACAGTTAAACGGGATTACTCCTTGGTATTTAATGTAGAAAATAAAATGACTTAAACCTTTCACAATGTTCTACTTACATTAGTCATATCGATCATGCTAGTCTGGCAGGTGGGGCAGGCGTAGTGGCCAGAGTGCAGTAGTTGCTCGAAGCACGGCCGGTGCAGCAAGTGGCCACAGTCCGGGATGTGGCACGGGATGCGGGATGTATGGATGTCTTCTAAGCACACCGGGCAGTTCGACCGGGACACGTTTTCCACGCACTGAGGAAGTAAAGTTTATTTATTTTTTATTTATTTAAGCTTCATGCACAAAATGTACCTACATAAGGTGGACTTAATGCTGCAGGCATTTTCTCCCAGTCTGACCTTTGGGTGATTTATTTATTTATTTATTTAAGGACAACCAACAAAGCATACACCAAAATACATGATAGGTTTTTTTACATAATATTTTAACACTCTATAGTGTAGCCTTAATTACAGGCTGCCACGACATGCATTATAAAAGAACAGGATATTACAACAACAAAGAAACAAAAAGTTCGCTTATCAAAAAAAAAGACATCAGTTTCAATCACAATTGTTAAATTTAAGTTTTTACTTCTTTTTAATTTTTAAACTGTACAATTTTGATTTTAATCTAAAATTGTACAGTGATGCAGAGAAGAGTTAATAAGAATAAGAACAATTTATTTGAATGTACTCCATTTACAATATGTTTTTTTTTAATTACTATATTAAAGTAAAATTATGCTAGACTATTAACTAGATAATAATAATACATTATTTTGCTTAAAACTATGGACAGAAAAATAATAGGACTAATTTTAATATTTGGACATAATGGTGTGAGCAAGAAGCAAGCAACTAAAGTTCAATTGATATAACTTAAAGTTACTGTACTTTCTAAGATTATTTAGACACTACTGATAAAGGGTAAAGGAAAACATCGCGAGGAAACCCGGGCTTATAATTTCTGATTATAAGTTTGAAATCGCCAACCCGCATTGAGCAAGCGTGGTGATTAATGCTCAGACCTCCGTGTGAGAAGAGGGTTTGCTCAGCAGTGGACACTTATAGGCTGTTGATGATGATAAAGTTAAAGTTGCATCTATTTCGGTATCCGTTGTACAATGCGTAGCCTTGTCGGGGTAAAGTTTAAAGTGTATCCAGAATTGGGATGATGACAGGGTATGAAAATTAAAAATCTATTTAGTCCGTAAGTTAGGTAATGAAATAACATTAGACACGTATTTTGTTATTTTGCTGCATAATAAAATAAAACTTAGATAAAACGAATCAAAGTTTAGAAGTGGGGGCTAAAACGGCATTTCTATGTATATAATGTACATAGAAGTGACGTCACGCGACATTTCAAATCAATATATCGTCGAAAGTATTCGTTTCTGTAAGAAAATAAAAAACGCGTCTAATGATTAATAATCTACTAGAAGGACATTAAAATAAAAATTAGACATCTACCCTATTTCGTCTACGTACTATTTTAGTTGTTAATCTACACTACGACTTGTGGTCTGTTAGGTATGTTAACTATAGTATTTAAAATGATTACATAAATTATAAATGTATTTCTGATAACTTCCACCCACAATGATAACTAATTAAATGATAAATTCCACTTGACAACCCACGTAAGTATACATAGTGCATAATTATCGGATCTTTGTGAAATCTAAATACATACTCTAATACCATACTTGACCCATGAACTGAAGCAGTGATCAGTAATAATGGCAGTCATAAAAAGATAAACACAGTATGGAGTTTATACAAGACTAGCAGGAAAAAAATTATCATAATATACAGCTTGGCAAAAAAGAGTTTAGAATCATTGAGGTCGTATCGTACCTTCGGCAATCTGGGCCTTTAGCCAAACGCCACTTTAGCGCTTGTCTACGGAGAGAGTAGAAATCAAAATGTATGGGGATGACACTGACAAGTTTCAAAATTTACGTCAATTCCATATAATTTAGTTCTCTATTCTACAAGTAGACAAGCGCTAAATGGCATTTGGCTACAGAGTTTAATAAAGGAGGTACTATGTTCGGATGACTATTTATTCGTGAGATATGGTCCAGTGGGAGATTCAGTCCAAGTCATTATTAGTGCCAGCTGTCACCGTATTAAACTCTTATTACAGTTAGTGCAAGTGGTCATTTTTTTTTCTTAAAAAAAGCGTTGCCCCACTCTAGGATTATCTCCTGTGTCATGGGTGCGTTTACAAACATACAAGTTCACATACACATGACACCCAAACCCGAAACAATAATTTGTGGATCACACAAAGTGTTGTTCCGTGCGGGAATCGAACCCGCGACACGTTGCACGGCAGCCGGTTGCCCGGCCCTCGCACCAACCGTGAAGTCAATTGCTTTATATATTTATAGCATATAGCATAATAGCAAAAGCATTACTCACCCTATGCCCGACTTGTTGCAGCTGCACTGGCAGACACATGTTGCATCGCTCGCAGTGGAAGAACCGGTCGCGTCCCCCCACGCGGCAGATACCGCAGCCCTCGCAGTGGTACTGGCGCTTGTCATCGTCGTCGAACAGGTTGCAGATCAGACATGTGTACTGTGAAACAACGCAAATAATAATAAGTTCATAAAACCGTGGCGCACACTAAGATTTGTCTTGTGTTGTGTGTGTATATATAAAATTTCACATATACCTCGTGTGTTCATAAGTTTTGAGACAAATTAAAAGTTGCATATCTTTTTAAATAATAAACTTATATTAATAAAAACAATAACAAACATTAAGTAGATAGTAAGTAAAAATTAAATATAATTATTATTCAAAATGACCACCCCTGTTTTTAATACATGCCCTTAGACGATTTGGCCAGTCATCAATGGCGGCACGAATCTTTTCCAGAGGAATTCGCTTCGCTTCTCGGACAAGAGCTCGCTTAAGTGACTCCAAGTTTGGGTGGGACTTTCGGCAGACTCTGAGCTCTAATTCGGTCCATAGAGAATAATCCAGCGGGTTGAGGTCGGGGCTGGAGGAGGGCCATTCGTTCGCCGCAATTAAGGCCGGCACATTTTCCTTCAGCCAAGCTTGGGTGGTTTTAGCCTTATGGGATTGCGCCGAGTCTTGCTGGAAAACCCAATACTTGTTATGGAATAGGGTATTAGACAGGGGTTTCACAACAGTCTCTAGAATGTCACTTTGATAATTTTTGGCTTTCACCTTGACGCCTTGTTGGCAGAAATGAAGCTGAGTGACACCTTCGTACGAAACTCCCCACCATACCATGACACTAGCCGGATGATGAGTACGCGAGACATTCCGTGCTGAAGGTGGGACATCCTTGCTACTTTTGGCATACACTTTATTGTTTTGTCGATTGAACTTTTCTTCGACGGTAAAGATTTTCTCGTCGGTGAAGAGTATCTTCCTCGCATCGTGTCTCCTAAGCAGTATTGGACAACGTTCGCGTCGCAATTGACGAAGGCGATCGTTTAAAAAGTGTACTTTTCTACGGCTATACGCCTTAACCTTGAGATCATATTTCAGTATTCTGTTGACTGAAACGCGCGAAATATTGGTCTGCAGAGCGAGTTTCTTCTGAGTGCGACATGGATTTCGGCGAAGTCGCTCTCGGATGATTTTAATGTTCGCAGGCGTCCTCACAGAGCGTGGACGACCACTTCTTTGCCGATCATGTAAAGAACTTGTCTCCTGGTATCGTTTAATAGTGTAATACACGAAGTTACGGCTCACACCAAAACTTTTCAGTTCTCGAAAATGTCCATAGGTTTTCTTCCCACCTTAACCTTTAACGTCACGGGCGGGGTCTCAACAGACCCCACGTGCTCTTTTTTAACTGTATTTTTTCAAATTGACAAGCTACGATCGCACCATTTTGGCTAATCTCAGTGCGCCGCCGACGCTTTCGATGGGTGGACTTACGTGACGTTGCCGCTAAGGTAAGTACATATTTTACTCGTGTGGGGATACCTGTGGACCCCACCCGTGATTATACGTAGTAACTTTTTTCACTTTGCCAATTTTTCAATTTGTTGTTTTTTCAGAATTACTGTTGAAAACTGCAAAAACGAGTCGCCAAATATCAGAAGACGCCAATTTGACCAAAGATATTAGTGCTATAATATACAAATTGATCGACAAAGAAGAGCCTTTGCCTAGTTCAGATGAGGCTGGTCCTAGTGCTTCAACAAGGTCTAAGGATAAAAAGAGCACTATTATTTGTAGATCATCCAAAAAAACTATTTGTAAGCTTCATTCAGTAGCAATTAGGTACTTATTGTTTACCATGCCAACCAAAATAATTATTTTTTACTTTAGCGCCCGACAGTAATATTGAGGGGTTGTGATTTTTTGTATGAGTATGGTTATTGTTTAATTTTCCTTAGATTACGTTTCTTTGTTTCCTATTTTATTAGAAAGTAAGAATATACTAGTCAAAAGTTGATAATTAAAAAAAAATAAGAACATTAGTTAAGTGCCTTAAAAAATTGCTATGTACAAGATGTTATTTCGTTAAATGTTTTTTCACTATGTAAAGACTGATTGTTTTGCTAATAATAAAAACTTTTTATACGTATTAATATGTCTTTTCTTTTAATCTAAATTAATATTTAAGAATTTTTCAAAAATACGCAGCATAAATGTAAAATACTTATGGGGATACTTCCGGACCCCACGCGTGACGAAACGTTACCAAAAACAACGCGTGTACTTAAAGGTTAAATAATGAAATGACGGTCGCACGTAATTCTTTTGTTCCCTCCATTACGAGAAAATTTAAATAAAATAATCCGAAATCATAGATATTAAAAGTTAACATTCCAAATTCAAAATTAGAAAAGAAATATACAGCAGCCAGTAATTTTTATTTTATTTTTATAAGCAAAAAGTTTGTCTCAAAACTTATGAACACACGAGGTACATTACTAGCTATTACCCGCGGCTTTGCTCTCCTTACAAAAGGATAAAAAGTAGCCTATGTGACATATACCAATACACACAGCGCCATCTATACCAATACTTTTGTTTTCCCTCGGGAATATGAAATTTTTCCGGGATAAAAAGTACTCTATTATTTAATCCGGACTTCTAACTTTACGTCTGCAAAAAATCAAAGCAATCGGTTTAGTAGTTACGACTTGAAAGCGGAACAAACAAATAAACGCACTTTCCGATTTATAATATTAGTAAGGATACCCGCAAAGAGTGAACATGAACCATCATGTGGAAATCGATTCCGTGATACATTTCGCAGACAGTTGCCCAGCTACTGCGCCAACCAATAAGTTGTTAGACTTATTAGGGCCGATTTATCCAACGCCTGTTTAATTTTATCAGAATAATCATTTTGGATATTTCACAAATCTAAAAATCTTTCATTCTAAAAACTGTCGATGTCAATTTTATTCTACAGTGGGGAATTATCTGTTGTTTCAAAAATTTGCTCTTATTCTAATAAAGTATAGGTTATTGTCAAGTTTAGCAACACATCGAGGTATAAGAGCTAGAAAATTGCTTTAGAAAAAAAAACTGAGAAAGACTGCTAACAAAAGTTACTTGTCAATATTGCAATACGAAAGCTTATTGTATAATAATAATATTTTAAAAATCTTATACTATTATTTAAAGTGGAAGTTGTTTTTTGTTTGTTTGAACGCGCTAATCTCCGTAACTACAAGTCTGATTTGAATAATTGGGTTTGTGTTGGATAGTGTATTTATCGAGGATGGCTATAGGCTATAAAACATCACGCCACGACCAATAGCAGCTGAGCAGAGCGTGTGAAACCGCGCAGACATAAATATGTAAAACGTACAACACTTAATTAAAATTCCTATTTAAAAAAAAACATTGTACATAAAGTATGGTATGACGGCTTGATTAAGTCGTAAACACGCATGGCGTGCTGGAAATTGTATAGAAGGGGCTGCCCTACACGAAACATGCCACAACTTTTGTTTTATATGCAAGGGGCGTCCTAGAAGGCAAGCTTTGTAATGGACTTTAAACTTTAAAGTAGGGCCATACAGTCGATTTTATTTAAAGATTAATAGCTTGATATATTACAGTTTTAACGTATTTGTCAAATGACTCATGTAATAAAATAAATTCTTTATAATTTTCGCAGCTCCTACGAATGTTCTCGACCTATATATATATATTCCAAATAAATGTGGTGATCTTGCCAAATCTTGATAATATGACATTCTCAAACAAACATATTTTCTAGAAAAATGAGAAGTAAAAGTTGAAATATGTTAATGATAGTGTCATTACTTGGTAGATTTTTTTTTCTTTGGCAACTGAGTCTCCAAAACGGTGTTGGACTATACTACTTGGTAGTTTATTTTCATTCAATTCTGCACTATATAGTAACACAACTATACAATAATTTTGCCTGTAAATATTTAATTGCCTGACTCTAGATTTGACCTATGATAGTTTAGACGTAGACAAACATCTGCTATAGTTAGTAATTTTTGGAAATCCTTTTGATATATTTTGATTTGATAATCGACCCTAAGAGCTAGAAAACCGTCATCCACCATGAAATGTTTTTTTATGGCATAAGCCGGTAAACGAGCATACGGATCACCTGATGGTAAGCAATCGCCGTCACTCATGGATACCTGGAACATCAAGGCGCTACAAGTGCGTTACCGGCCTCAAATTTTGGGAATTGAGAATTTGAGGATTGTAGAGGATTCGGAGATTCGGGAGACTGGGGAGGGGGTAATTGGGCCTCCGGTTACCGCACAGACACGACGAAACACAACGCAAGCGTTGTTTCACGTTTGATTATATATTGATATGTTTACTAGAAGAATACTCTTACTATAGTATTTGTATCATATACAGCCTAGAAAAGACAGCAGTACAATTAATGTTGCCTGTCTCCCATGGGTGATGGCAGATACTATGGACTACATAAAAAAAGTATATATCAACTAGATTGGCGAGAATTATATTAAAGAATGGCCAAATTAAAAGTACCCTTAACCGATGAACATGCATGAAAAGACTGATGACTGTTGAGGAAGCAAAAGAGGTATGTAAGAATCATAGCAATTGGCTTTGCATAGTCTCAGTGTTGTATACTCGTACAAAGCAAATAAGGCAATAAAATATAGTGGCCACAGTAGATAAGATACTACTTCTGTTTGTATAACTTACAGAATGAAACAAAACATTCGTATTTCTAAAGAGTCAGAAATATAACGTGGCACACAATATAAAGTTCATATTAACTATACTGCCTCTCTGGCCGAGTGGTCGCAAGTGCGACTGCCGGGCAGGGGGTCTCGGGTTCGATTCCCGGGTCGGGCAAAGTATTACTGGGTTTAAAAAAAAATTCTCAGTAGTAGCATGGAGTCTGGAATTGTGCACGGTATATGGCAATAGGCTCACCCCCTATTACATGGGACTCATAACATAAATAGTGAAAAGTGGGTGTTATATTGTACAGTGGTATAATGTGCACCTCTGCCTACCCCTTCGAGGATAAAAGGCGTGATGTTATGTTATGTTATTAACTATACCTATTTGTGAAATTCCTAAACATGTCTCACACATCACAAAAGACAGAATCATATCTAAATATATATATATATATAACTCAAAGGTGACTGACTGACATAGTGATCTGTAACGCACAGCCCAAACCACTGGATGGATCGGGCTGAAATTCGGCATGCAGAAAGATGTTATGTCCTAGGCATCCGCTAAGAATGGATGTTGATCACTTCCACCTAAGGGGATTAAATAGGGGATGAAGTTTTGTCAGTTTTAAACTGATTGGGTTGAAATTCGGTATGCAGGTAAAACCTTGGAAAAGACTCAATATCTGCCAGAAGTAATTATTGTACGCGGACGAAGTCGCAGGCAACAGCTAGTTCTCACATATAATTTTTTATATTTGTCTGGACTTTAAAAAAAACGGACCTCTGAGTTTGTTTCGTCATTTCTTCTCAGAGTAGTGAGTTAGGAAGTGTCGGCTTCATTTAGTTTTTTTTTATTGGTATGTTAAAGTGCTGCTTTAGTTTAGTCCTGTGTCGTGTGTGCGTTTATAAACATACAAGTTCACAAACACATGGCACTAAGATCCGAAACAACAAGTTGTGAATCACAACTTTAACGCCTCTTAAAAATTGTAATGCCTGTTATCACAGAATATGGAATTATTTGGGCAAAATTAATCTTTAGAGTTAAAATATTATTGCACATCAGGTCATTGAATTTCACCATATTTGTTAACATGTGCTCTCAGAATTATGGAACACAATATTTATTTTTATAATCGTCAGATAAAATATAGATATTTTTTTATTGGACAGAAGTAATGATTGTGGTGTATTCTTTTTTTCTTTTTGCAAATAGACTAGACTAAAGCAGCACGCTTCTATGATAACTGGCATTGCAATTTTCAAGAGCCGTTCAATTTCATGTTGTTAAAGTAAAATTTTTTGGACATCGCTTTGATCTTGATGGTTTTACATACAAGTTATACAAGAAGTTATACATACAAAGAATATAGAATTGTAAAAACAATAAGTAAGCAATAATAATATGGTGTTTTTTTAAAACATTTTCTGGCATTTTCCCCTGTGTTGACAATGCATTTATCAATATATAAGTTCACATCCACATGACACACAGACCCGAAACAACAATTTGTGGAGCACACAAAGAGTTGCTTCGTGAGGGAACCGAACATGCTACATGTTACATGGCAGCCGGTTGCCCAACCTCCACTTCAACTGTGCAATTCATCTTTATATGAATGAAGTAGGCATAAAATTTATTATTATTTACAATATTAGCATATTCAATTATTTTTTTATAGTTAATAGCTACTTCCGCGCGGTTTTACACGATCTGCTCAACTCCTATTGGTCGTAGCGTGATGTTTTATAGCTTATACCATCGTCGATAAATGCACTATCCAACACAAAAAGAATGATTGAAATCAGACTTGTAGTTACGGACATTAGCACGTTCAAACAAACAAACAAAAAACAAACTCTTCTGCTTTATATAATAGTATAAGAAGTGTAAGATTAGAGACTATAGTTGGTAGCATTTTTAATGATTTGATTGAGCAATAACTCTAACTACAATTTATTGTTCCAGAATTTCTGTTTATAAACGTATACACAACACAATAGGAGGATAATAGAATGGGATAATATTCAATATAAAAAATACACGACATACCTTTCCAAACCGCACACCGCAGTTCTCGCACTCCTCCTGAACTTTTTGTCTCTTGTCACATTCTGTGCATATCAGCTCTGTGACAGACTTCCTGTTGAAGTAATGCTGCTCATTCTCATCATGGCAGTAGCGGCATACATACACCTTGTTGCAGCATGGTGTCTGAAATAAATAGCATTTTTTTCATACTGGATTTTTCCATACCAAAAACTCCAACAGTCATTCCTTGGATTTGTTTCCTATCATCGTAGATTCATTCCTGACCTATATAGAAAAGCAATACCTTTAACCAACCTACTAAAAAAGAATGTAGGAAACTAACTGTCTAGCTACTCTGTACAGTGGATGAACCAGCTTAGCAGCAGAGTTCTTCAGAGAGCTTCTATTTATTGTTTTGTAATATTTTCTGACTCTCCTTGGTAAATGACTCACCTAATACAGGCAGCCTTCAGCTTTTATAAGACCTATTGTTACACACATAACCTAATAATGTTTAAATTAAAGTTGATTAACAAACCTAAGGAAATCGATTTTTAAATTCATTAGTAATCAAAAAGGTAAATGCAATATATTGAAAAACAATCTTCTTTTTGTTTATTGTTGAATGATCCTAAGTTAGAAGCTGTTCAAAAATTGTGCTGAATAAATTAATGACTTGTTTCTAAGATATTTTTAGCATGTGTTGTATTGAAGTCAAGAACTTTTGAAAACAAAGGACTCTTTTTATAACTTGACTACAATATACACATGCTATTATTTGATACAGTTCACTGGTTAGAGAGACAGAAGATAGGGGTATTGTATCAAAATCAGTTCTAATATTTACTTTATTTCGCCGCAAAAATAAAGCGTGACCTGCGTCTTCCAGTTCGTTGACACTATCTTTGTTAGTTAAATCCGCATGTCATTAGAGTATCTCGAGACTTCTACGTTCTACGTTTATATATAGACTATCGACTGTTTAGTTCACGGCAATCACATAAAAACCTAATTAATCATCCAATATCAATCAATACACTTCTGTTTATGATCTAAAACTTACCACGAACTTTGCACGACGTTTGTAATGAGCGCAACCGATGCGTTTTTCTTTGCTCGGCTCTGAGTTCGCCGCACCGTTAATATCCACCGTTTCTTCATTCTGCGTGGACATTTTTTCGGTAAATACACTAATGCACTTCCTGATAACAACACTCCAAGGTCTCAGCACGTCATTCAATGGATTCTTTCAATTATTAAAGTGGACCGTATTGAACAACATTTTATTTGCTTTACTGTCATGTCATATGACAATGACATCTGGTCTGGTTGATTTGTGTAACATTCCATTACATTTTATATTTTTAAGCATATCAATCATATCCTCTATTCATTTTATGTAAGTGAATGTAAGTTAGACAAAATGAATTTGATGCTAAAGATACTACTTATTACGAGTATTCGTCGCTGGATCGCATTTTGAAATTTTTTTACGTTTAGTTTTTCCAACAGTACAATGACAATGACTTACGACTAAACAGCCAAAGATTTTATGTTTTACAAATATATTACGACTGCATAGATATTTTAAACATGCATTTTTATAGTCATCATCATCATCATCATTATTAATATCATCTAATAGCAGGACCTCGAAAAAATGAGTTTCAGATCAGTTGGTTGGACGTGACCTGCACGTTATATCTATTCATTCACTAAGTACTACTTATTGTACGTATTACGTACTAAGCTAAGGGCTGGTGCTGAAAATCAGCGCAGTGGACTCGAGCCTTCGTGCCCGGGCCAAAGTATTAATCTGAGCTCCAGCCTTTTGAGCTGCGACGCACATGGGCTTTTTGTATGTACCTGTATCACACCTGTATTCTTGTTGTGTGTCGTGCCGTAATAAATGGTTTTTTTTTTCTTAATACGCTTCCTCTGCATTGAAGTTAGCAGTTCTCTGCGACCTTTACGAGGTTGTCTGTTGGATAATATAAGTTGTGTTTAGGACAAAATCTTGGACAAAACTTGAACACTGATAACAACAATATCATAAAATAAACTTAACTCTTTGTGTCATTTTGATAACATCATTTACGTTCATACGTCATAACAATGTTCAGTAAAATGATTACAACACAATTTTTGATATAAAAGATATATAAAAAACTAAAAATAAGAAAAAAAATCTAAAACCCCATTCTGAACAACATGGCATATTTATTCATACCCCTAATTATTTCATTTTTCTTACACCATGCTGTACGTTGATTCCACCTAAATTTCAATGGAAGACTATGGATTTTGCATGGAAAGGCTCAGAAAGAGAGTCGGCTATCACTAACGGATCTTACGTACCCGTACACAACATGCCTACTGGATTAGCGAGATGGAAGGACAAGCTGTTTATACCATACCGCGGTGGAAAACAGGCTAGAAGCTATTTATTATTATACACCCAACCACCACTTGATACCATTTGAGAGTCTCAGGAAAATAATCATAGGCTCTCTTAAATTATACCCATCATCATTAGTCAGAAGATGTCTACCGCTAGGTTTCAGTTGAAAATTTTAATTTTTGTTTTATGTGAAACGCCGGTAAATCAGAAGACGGATCACCTGATGGTAAGCAATCGGCGCCGCCCATGGACTGGATCCGTAATACCAAAGTCGCTACAAGTGCGTTAGCGGCTTTTTGGGGATTAGGAATTTAAGAATTGTTGGGGATTCAGGAATAGGGGAGATTCGGGAAGGGGAGGGGAATAGGTAATTGGGCCCCCGGTAACCTTACTCACAGGACAAAACAAAACGCAAGCGTTGTTTCTCGTTGGTTTTCTGTAAGGCCGTAGTATCACCCCGGTCGAGCCGGCCCATTCGTGCCGAAGCATGGCTCTCTCACACTTAAAAATAAAGGTATTATTTGCGTACTATCCCTGATGTTAGTCTAAATACATAACAATGCACTTTATTTCTCTACCAGGCATTCCAGCGTCCTTAAATTACGTATACTTGAATGGGACACAAGATGCGCCATTGCACCCGTACCCAAACTGGCAGGAAGGTTGTCTAGCCCAAAATGGCTCTGTGGTCTCCAATCGCACGGTGGTGTCCACCTTCAGGGTGAATGTAGACAAATGTGACCGTCTCTGGGTTGTGGATAATGGAGTCAGTGATATGTCGAGTAAGTTTAGAATGAAGTTTAATCTAATACTAATAATACTATTAGTGTTGGCATAAAGGTGCGTCCCACAGATGAAACTTTACAAAATTACTGGTAGTCGTAGCAGTGGCGTAGCGTGCCTTGGCGAGGCCCCGTATAAAATATTGTTTAGCGGCCCCTCTGAAAGGTAAAGCGTTCTCATAACAGATTTTATTGCATAAAATACTCGTAATTTCTATAAAAATCGGAACAGACAACTCCTTCGGCCCATATTATCGGACTATGACTACTTAGTTTTTCTGTGTAAGTGCCAACCATTTTTTGAACGCTTGCTTTACGCGGGAAAAATTGATTAAATTCACTTTTAAGATTACTAAACTAAATCAAACATTGGGAAGATTATATTAATTTTTGCTTACGTTTTGGGCCCCCTCGTAGTTCAGGAGCCCTATATAATTGATACGGCAGATACGGCGCTAGCTACGCCCCTGAGTCGTAGGTAGTCGGAAATAGTCATAGAACAATGCGATACAATAAAGTTTTTAAGGTAAAAATCTGACAACTTCTCCAGATTCAATAATTCGGGAATTTAGTCCAAGTTTTTAGATAGGAGTTGGTAGTCCTCTCTTTCCTAACTGTAGCTCTGTAACTTGTACAGTGGATGTGAAACAAGTGACGCAGCCATCTGTCTTGGTGTTCAACCTGAAGACAGACGAGTTGATTAAGAAGTTCGTCCTGGATGAAAATGTATTGAGAGACTCTTCGGTGTTGACTAGCATTGTAAGTATCGAAGAACTCGTTGAGTCGTTGCGTATTAGGCGTCTACCTCTTTCACATTAGAGATATTCGAGGAATGACAGTTTTTCGCCTCCTGGCCTGAGAATTAAACTTGAAACTTCATGCTCAGCATTCACATTAGGGCTGTTTAAACAAGATATAAACATAAGCTGTAAATTACCAAATACCTACCCAAATATTTTTGAGTTAGAAGATCAAAATCGCCACAAACCCCATCAATGCACTAATTCCTTTTTTCATTCTAGGCAGTCGAAATAGTCGGCAAGAATTGTGCGAAATCTTACGCGTACATAACAGACATGGGGTCCAACGCTATAATCGTGTACAGCATGGATGATAACGACGCGTGGAGGGTAGAGAACCATTATTTCCACTTTGATCCCCACGCTGGGGTTTATAAAGTAGGGGGTATTGACTTCTATTGGAGTGACGGGGTCTCATCAGGCACGTTGTCACAACCTAAGAAGGATGGGTAAGTCTTCTATGACTGAATACTGTTTATAGTCGTACGAATGGTCTTAGAAGACTGGTTTCAGACTCCCAAAATATTAGCACCAGCTGTTTGACTGCGTATTTCCTTCTGAATGGACTTGTGGGTAATTGGAGCAGAATTAGCATTACAATCACACCTGTTATTTTTGCGTTCACAGAAGAGTTTGCTCAATTCTATTTAACTGACATTTCATGTATTATCTGATATTATGACTATGGTAAACTTAAGAACTCATTAGTTCCATACTCAGTCGCAATTTTATGAGATTTTAAATAAGTTGAACTTTCAGTTATTGCGACTTATATTTGCACCCAACTTCGAGTACGAAGCAATTCAGGATGTCGACGAGACTGCTACGAAATAAGGATGCTCCCAAAGAAGATATTTTCAATGGAGTCGAGGTACCTATCATTTAAATCGGAAACAATTAAAACTTATTATTCTGGGGTCTGTTAAGGACATTATCAACATATCTGAGTGGATTTACCTGTTGCCTGAGATTACAAGTTTTTTTAGTCTTCTTTACGTTTTATTCTTAATATTCATACTGTTCGAAACTTATTCCTAACCGTGATTTGTCCTCACCACCCAGGCGAGAGAAGTCATTCGATGATTTTCCCTCCTTAAAAGAACAATGACCTTTGCCCGAGCGTAGTCGTGTGTAACCCAAATGTACGGCGTATCGCATTCCGCATGCGTCTCAAAGAGCCATTAGACTACCACAGATGGGGCCCAATAGAGCTGATGCCGATATGGAGCCGCGGAGGACTTAACAGGTTGCCGGGGCTCTGCCTCGAAGTGCAGGAGTAGGAACGGTGTGGTTTTTAGTCAGTAAGAGTCTGGCACTCCCTCTCGCCTCAACCAGGCGGGAGGAGAAGTAAATGGATGATTTTCAGCCCTAAAAAAAGATCGATGATCTGTATTCTACTTGTATTTGTTTTTTCAGATAATCGGTGATAGAGGTCCAAATTCTCAAGCGACGTCCTGCGATATAGACCCGTCCACTAACGTCTTGTTCTATACACAGGTGATTGGGTTCATTTAAAGAGAGTAAAATTATTTATTTCAATAGAAGGCACTTTTGAACTTCAAACAGATTATTTAAAATACCAGTCTATCGGTCAATCTTCAAGTCAATTAGTGTGGGGCAACGATTTTAAAAAAAGGAAAAAAGGTAAAATCCTACTCATTATAAACCCTCTATCTACTCCAACAGGTTTGCAAAAATGGCTTAGGATGTTGGAACTTGAACAAACAGTTTAATGACGCCAATACTCCACTGATACTCAGCGACTGCAACTTGATGGAGTTCCCGAATGACGTCAAAGTATGATCTTATTACCTAACTAGCTTTTACCCGCGGCTTCGCTCGCGTCACAAAAGGATGAAAGGAGCCTATGTGACATATACCAATACTCACAGTGCCATCTATACCAATAATTTCGTTTTCCCTTGGGAATATTAATTTTTTCCGGAATAAAAAGTAGCCTATTATTTAATCCAGACTTCTAACTTTACGCCTGCAAAAATTCAAAGCAATCAGTTTAGTAGTTACGCCGTGAAAGCGGAACAAACAAACTCACTTTCTGATTTATAATATTATAATAAGGATTAATTTGTATTTTCAATATAAAATGGATTACATAATATTGTAGGATGAATATGAAAGAAGTTACTTTTTGAGGCTAGGCAAAGGTTCTCCCTAGTTTGATAGTCTTCCTATTTTAAGTTTTGGCAAGTAAAAGTCAACACAAAGAAAGCATAACATTTAAATAGTTCCTATATCAAGAATGTGTATATGCCCAACTGGGCAGATTCCAGGGAAATAAGGAGATTCAAACAAATATCAAGAATAGCCATGCCATCAACTCCCTAAACTTTGCGTATTACCAAATATACCTCCAACATATAATTCTTAAAATTCAACCAAAATTAATAAAATTAAAGCTTTGCTTACCTTACAATGAAGAATACCTCGACTTCCAGGCAGATAGGGAAGGCAACCTCTGGATCCTGAGTGACAGACAGTCGCGCTTCCTATATGAGGCTATGGACTTTGACCAGGTCAACTTTAGGGTGCTCACGGCACCAACTGCGACACTCATACAGGGCACGGCGTGTGAGAAGAGGTCCTTCTTTAGTAAGTGGTCAGTGGCCTTTCAAATAGTATTTATTCTTGTTTTTTTTTATATAAGACGTTTTTTTTATGGCGTAAACCGGTTAACGAGCAGACGGATCACCTGATGGCAAGCAATCGGTGTCGCCCATGGACACCGGAACACCAGAGGCGTTACAAGTGCGTTACCGGCATTTTGGGGATTAGGAGTTTGAGGATCGTTGGGGATTCAGGGATTGGGGAGATTGGGGAAAAGGAGGGTAATTGGGCCTCCGGTAACCTCACTCACACGACGAAACACAACGCAAGCGTTGCTTCACGTCCGTTTTCTGTGAGGCCGTGGTATCACTCCGGTCGAGCCCATTCCTGCCGAAGCATCGCTCTCCCACACGTAGACAAACAAATGCATTGATTTAAGTAGGTATAACATTGCAACTGGGTTTTAAGTTTTTTCTGTTACAATTTCACAGTCTATTTTTAACCGACTTCAAAAAGAAAAAAGGGTGTTCTCATTTTGACCTGTATGTATGTTTGTGCGCGATTATCTCACGAATGGCTGAACCAATTTTAATTCGGATTTCAAAAAAGTGTTTGTTACACTTAGGCGAAGCTTATTTGTAGTTTCTAAAAGTAGTTTTTGTTTATGTGAAAATTGCTATACATTAATTTTACAGGTCGAATCAGTGACACAATGGTCAAAGTTCGATGACCCACCAACCGAAATGACAATTGAAGTCATTTGAGATTTTTTTAGTCCAAATATTTTGTGAATTATAATTATTATTCTCGAAATGCATTGTTTTATTTTTAAATGAAAACTATGTAAATATAAATAATGTTTTAAAAACGGTGTAGTAAGAAGGCAGTATTATTTTGGCGGATCGAATGTTGCCAAAGCTAGGTGGTGCTTTTTTTATGGCATAAGCCGGTAAACGAGCAGACGGATCACCTGATGGTAAGCAATCGGCGTCGCCCATGAATACCTGGAATACCAGAGGCGTTACAAGTGCGTCACCGGCTTTTTAGGGATTAGGAGTTTGAGCATCGTTGGGGTTTCAGGGATTGGGGAGATTGGGGAAGGGGAAGGTAATTGGGTCTCCGGTAACCTCACTCACACGACGAAACACATACTCTTGAAGTAGGTAACAAATACATTTTTAGGTGTTTTGCTCACTAGTCGTCGCAAATCTAGTAGGAGGTCTGTGTCTAATCAATGCAGCTGTCAAATACTGAACGTCGAATGGTTGCAAGCTAATTTCCTATTGAACGAAGAACGAGAGGACCAAACTAGCACCGTCTGGTGTGTAAAAATAATGCCCACTTTTCACTATTTATGTTATGAGTCCCATGTAACAGTAAAATGGGGTGAATGGGGACAGAAGAGGGGTGAATTGGTACTATGAAGAATTTCCCAATATCTATTCACCCCTCTTTTGTCACTATTCACCTCTCGATCCCTATTCACCTCATTTTACGGTAATATAGGGTGAGTGTATTGCCATATACCGGGCACATTTCCAGACTCCATGCCACTACTGAGAATTGTTTTAAAAACCCAGTAATAAAAAAGAAAAATACACCTCAATATTAGGGATAAGGGAGAGACAGAACAAAAACCAACAAAATAATTTAATTTTTTATTTAAATATACAACATGGTAGTTATAACTATGTAATTAAATAAGTCTATGTGATTGAATAATTCATAATATTTGCTCGCGACCGTCGATTCCGTCTGATTTCGTTCACTTGTCAGTCTTTTCGCTAAATTTTAACATTTTGAACCGACGAGACGACGGACTTAGAAATTTAAGCACCTACCGACTAACAGGGTGTAGTTTAGAGTCCCGTGGACATCGCAATATAGGTGGGCGAGCCGTCACGGCAACTGAATAATGGGTAGGCAGAAAGAGTAATATCCCGTTGTTTGAACGATATGTTATGATGTCATCTACTTTAGAGTGAAGCGGTCTTAACTTAAATGTAGTATCACGGCTTTATTCCTAAATGAATAAGCAGTGGGCATCAATAATGTAACATCTATTATTCACCAATTATGAGTCCTAACTATTGAGGTGAGTCTACCGTCATGTACCAAGCACGATCCTAGCCTTTCTATATCACCGAGAATTTTTATAAATAAAATATCTTAATAATTCATCGCTTGCTACGAGTGGCGAGATCGATTCCGTAACCCGTTACTCACTCGAGCCAACAGCAGCTGTAGCCAAATGCCATTTAGCGCTAAAGGCCCAGGTTCCACAGTCGTTTCAAGAGACTGTGTCCGCCATTTTTTCAACGTCATTGATAAAAACATGATTGTCAATGTATTTGCTAATGTCGAATAAAATTCTATGATAGAATCAGAATGTTCGGGATATTACGCGAGAGTAGCACTACCTCTCAACTACGGTAGCATATAAAAAGTACACAATTTACAAGGATTCTAGTTTGTATGAGAGATTTACATTGAATCTACATTACTTCGTACTATCGGGCCAACTTTCTTTTAAGTGATGTTGCATTGAGTTATTATACACCACTCGATACAGATCGTAACGCAAAGTGTACTTCCCATCATTGAACAATTGAGTACTTTCCTCAATCAAAAATAAATAATTTCGACTGTTCAATACAAAAAAAAATTAAAAAATAATCACACTTTCATTCATTGATTATATGACCAATTTAATTTTTATATTTATCCAGCAATTTTTTGAGAAATAAGTATCCTGTTTGACGTTAAAAAAAGTGACGTCACAATACACAATCTCGTATAAAATTCGTAGAAAACTGTCGTTTTTGACAGTTAAAAAAAAGTATTAAATTTGACTAGTTGTTAAGTACCCAATACTTGGAACCTAACGGGTAACCGGGGCTCCGGCTCGACATGCAGGAGAAGGAACGGGGTGGTTTTTAGTCAGTAAGAGTCTGACACTCCCTCCCGCCTCACCCGGGCGGGAGCAGACATTCGATGATTTTCTCCCCTTAAAAAAAAGTACCCAATACTTTGTGTGATCTATAAATTGTTGGCCTAAGTATATGTATGTCATATGGAGCCGCGGAGAACGTCAATGATTACTGGGGCTTCGGTTTGCAGTGCTTAAGCAGAAACGGGGTGGTTTTTAGTCAGTAAGAGTCTAATACCCCTTCCCGCCTCACCAGGACGGGAGTAGCCATTCGATGATTCCCCCTCCCCATTAAAAAGTATGATAGGCTATAGTATCCTTTAATACGTCACTAGCGTCTTAAGGTCATAAAATCCATATTAGGTAACAATACTCAATGCAAAATCACCCTTACATACCTTAACAATACGTTCCAAAATTGCACATCCAACAACTTCCTTTTCCTTACAATTCTATAGTTACTACAGGTATCTATATATATAAAAGAAAGTCGTGTTAGTTACACTATTTATAACTCAAGAACGACTAAATCGATTTGGATGAAAATTGGCGTGGTGGTAGCTTAGAACCAGGAGACGGACATAGGATACTTTTTATCTAATTTTTTTTTTTTACTTTTACCTAAAATCACGAATGGGAACGGGGGGGGGGGAAATGGGATTGCGCGTACGAAGTCGCGGGCAGAAGCTAGTTAAGAGATAAAAACCAAAACCGATGAAAAGAGGGCGGACGTAATGTCACTTAGAAATGATTGAAGCACCAAAATGTCAGTGATGTATTTATGTGTGCGTGTGTATTTCTTTTTATCGGATAACCTGCTAAACGAGCAGTCGGATCACCTGATGGTAAGCAATCGGCGTCGCCCATGGACACCTGGAACACCAGAGGCGTTACAAGCACGTTGCCGGCATTTTGGGGATTAGAAGTTTGAGGATCGTTGGGGATTCAGGGATTGAGGAGATTAGGGAAAGGGAGGAGGATAATTGGGCCATCGGTAACCTCACTCACATGACGAAACACACGCAAGCGTGTTTCACGTCAGTTTTCTGTGAGGCCGTGGTATCACTCCGGTCGAGCCGGCCCATTCGTGCCAAAGCATGGCCCTCCCACACTTTGTAAAGTAATGTGTTACCACGTTACCAGACTTGAAAAAAATGTCAGATGTCCTTCGTGTCAATGTGTATATATTCTGCTTGTAAGTCTATAGTAACCAGCAGCTGTAGCTAAATGTCATTTAGCGCTTGTCTACATGTAGAGTAGAAAACCAAAATTATATGTTATTGACGTAAATTTTTACACTTGTCAGTGTCATCACCATACATTTGGTTTTCTACTCTCTCTGTAGACAAGCGCTAAAGTGACGTTTGGCTAAAGGCACTGGTTCCACAGTCGTTTCAAGAGACTGTGTCCGCCATTTTTTCAACGTCATTGATAAAAACATGATTGTCAATGTATTTGCTAATGTCGATGCAGGTCCGATGATGACGAAGATAATCTTACAGAAAACTTGTCATATTTTACATAACCATACTCATGTATCAAACAATTGACATTTCAACAAACTTTACAAGGTTTTGATAATGAATTTTGAATCTTATTGCGTAGAAGTAAGTGTTATAAGGACTGCAAATATTGGCCTAACTTAATTTAAAATTACATTAGTTTTATAACTTATTTTTTCAATAGAATTTGAGTCTTATTGCGTAGACATAATAATTACATTGTTCGCAACATTTTGCAAAGTTCAATTAGCAGTTTATTTTTGAAGAAATAAAGGCGAAAACCGCTTGGCAGAATGTTGAAATGCCACAATGTTATACAGAGAATACGAAGTTCAACGCTACAGCTGCCGTCTAAATCCAACTATTCACTAGAATAACATTTCTTTGATAATAATTTAATACTCGATAAATTCGCGAACCATCCCACTACTGTATAACTCACCCGACAGTTACACACGCACATCAACCTACCCCTAATCGTTTAAACAAATTTCAAGTTTAAACATAAATTAAGAAGGTTGAAAATCCTTTACAGAATTCTTGAAAACATTATCAATTTTAATACAAATAAGGTTGACCAAATCTTTTAAATGAAATTCAACTTTACACACAACGAAAGAAGGCTGGGAATCGTTTGAAGAATCCTTAAAAAGAAAATTCTACTATAAAGAAAACTTACTACTACTACTATAAAGAATACAAAGTAATAAAGTTGAAAATCAGGTAAAGATTTCTTGAAGACAATGTCGTTACATCGTTAACCCAACAAAGAAGGTTGAAATCATTTTAAATTAATTGTTGAATATAATATTCAACTTTAACACAAAGCTAAAAGATAGAAAATAGTTTTGGGGTAGCTTGATCTGCTTGTTGTATAGTATACGTACTTATGAATGTAACAATATTATTTCTAAGTCCTTGGCTCTATCGTGCGTATCGCGTGTCCGAGACGAACAAAAATTTACAAAAAGCGTTGCAATATGAATAGCAATAGAGTACTATTTACAATAACCATTTATTTATTGCTGAATCAACTATCATAGGCCATATAGAATTGAGAATTTATAAGAAAATATTAATTATAAAATAAAACTTAGTATAAATAGTGTCGCGCATGCTCGAAGGTTAGAAATATCGATATCGATGGTCATGTATCGATAGTTTTTATTTTCTTATTCATAAAAGTATAGTGGACTGGACTATGAGAAAGTATTTGACAGTGTTTACTGTCAAGTATATATTTTCTCTTAATAGGCTTTCTTATAATGTAGTTTATAAATAATTGATAAGTTTGTTTGGGTTTTAAGTATTTACTAATATTAGTAAAAACACTACATACACATGAGTTATATCCTTTAAAACTTGACCTTCGATTTTTCGTTTAGACTTGAGCCCAAGTAACTATGTTTAAGAATGTAAGGACTGTAAGTGTATTGTTGTCTCACTTAAACATTTCTTGTGTCCCTTTCTTTCAACAGACACAAACTGTCTTTCTTACTGTACTATAAACGTTATGACTTTACTATTAAGATTTTTGTTAGATTGTGAACGCATCATTTATTTTCCACGTTATGTCAGTAACAATTATTATTATTCCTTACTCCCCATAGCATGCGCGACATCCAAAACCGTAAAATTATGGCAAAAGAGACAACAACGGTCCAACTTTTCCGATACCTAAAATAAACGACACAACACTTCGAATAATAGAAAAAGAAGACAGATGTCCCCATCTCTCTCTCACGCCCGACGATTGCCGGAGATACCCGAAGTGTAATGTCATTGGAACAGTGCGTCACTGTGAACATTGTCCTACCCTACAAGGTCCGTTTTGCTGTGACAAAGGAATTTCTACCTTATCCTAATAGTCCAAGGTTGGTATTTGAGTAGATTATCTAGTGTTCTCTGCCGTTTCACCGTTTTTGTGTTGTGGCGTCGTCTTAGCGGAGGGAACACGTTTGGACAGCGGCGTCATATACTCCCAACCGTCGTCGCCCTTCGGACTGAACAGCTGAAACGAAATAATATTACATTTAATGATTTTATACTATGCCTAAACTTATATTCTGGAGATTTTAAGGTCAGATATTGTAAGACACTACGTTACAATGTAGTGAGAGAAATGTGTTTTACAACAAGCACTACATTTATTCTTAACCCCCGTAATTCACGTAATGAGGTTTTACAGTAGGGACCAAAAGTCAATCTACTTTTAGTCAAGTTGGTCTTATGGAGGCTGAATATCAGTTGGGGATATCAAAAAATAACTATTTTGACCGCTAAACTTTAACTTCCTCTAATTTCTTTTTGTTCTAAACAACGTAAGAAATTTACAATTTTCTGTTGTGTCGTGGGTACGTTTACAAACATACAAGTTCACATACACAGGACACCCAGACCGGAAACAACAAATTGTGGATCACACAAAGTGTTGTTCCGTGTGGGAATCGAACCTGTGCAAAGCTACACTCAGCCAACCGGCTGTGTCGGCGGAAAATGTCGGCCTAATCGTTCGCTTGAAAAATTGACGTGTGAAAGTTTTGCCTTGTAGCCACAAGACAAAACTTTTATATGTCAATTTGCAGAAATTATTATTTATTTATTTATTATTATTTTCAGCAATGACCCTTTCCACTCCTCTCTATGTAAAGCTTTTTGTGGCCAATCATTGTCATAGACGTCGCGGCAGGCCCAAAAGGAGATGGCGGGACGAATTAGACATCTATTTAGTAGTAAACTCACCAGCGTGTTCCACTTCTCCCCGTTGGCGTCCCTGGCCTTGACGGCGTCCCGCTGCGCCTGCTCGACGGCGCGCTTGGCGGCCGTGGCGGCGTCGCAGTCGGCGCCGCGCAGCGCGCACGTCACGTGGCGCCACACGCGCCGCGACTCGTGGCCTTGTTGCCGCGACACTGGCGCCACGCGCTTGCGCCGCGCCTTCATACTACTCACTTCGAATAGGACTTCTGAACGCTGGGGAGGAATCAATGTGTGGTTAATGGACGTGTTGTTGATAACGCTTTGTTTCATACATACATAATACATAACTTCACGCCTGTCTCCCATGAGGGTAGGCAGAGACTATGGAACGCCAATTACTACGATTCCTACATACCTCTTTCGCTTTATCAACAGTCATCAATCTAATGATAATCTAATAATAATTAAATGAGTGTCTTGTTTCACTTATGGCTGTATTTACTATGCGACCACCCATAAACCATCTCTAAACTAAAAGTCTCATCGTAAGGGAGCACCTAGATTAACACCTTACTTTTACTGTTAGGTGTCGGTGATCCAAGATGTCACTAAGTATCACCTAACTTTAAGAGTGGTTAATGAAAACGAATAATGTAATGTTGAATGTGTATGTCTTATGTAAAAATTAATATCCAAAAGTCTACTTACACCAGAGTCAGTCCATCTGCCATCCATTCTGGAATTCCATTCTCCTTGTGCAGTATAGTAGGGTTTCTTGTCGGCTCCAGCGAATACTTCACACGTCACTCGATGCTTCTTGCCGCCGTAGAATGGCTTGGTCAAGAACTCGATATTGGCTTTGTGGCCAGTTTGGACGCATTCTATGACCACTGAGCCACCCAGCTCTATCCAGGGGACTGTTAGTATTGATCTGTGGATGAAGAAGGTGATGGTGATTAAGAGAAGTCGAAGTGTATTTTTAGAGAATAAAGCTACTAAATATAGCGACAAGCCTCGGCTTCGCACGGGTGCAATATGCATGTATTATACATATAAACCTTCCTTAAGAATTAGTCTATTGAAAAAACCGCATCAAAATCCGTTGCGTACTTTTAAAGATCTAAGCATACATAGGGACAGATACATTTTTAGAAAACAAAAACCAGTAGTACTTTGCCTAATCCAGAAATCGAACCCGAGACCCCTCGCCCGGCAAACACACATGCGACCTCAGCCAACGAGGCAGTCAAAAATAATTAAGAATTTTTAAATTTCATACAAAGATAATAAAGTCAGTATTTCAATACTGCTCCGGCTTTAAATTCAAAAACCAATCGTTAAGAAGAAATTCTATGCACTAAATGCTTTAATATTAGTCAAAAAGGTTTTAAGCCAAAGCTTACTTCTTCAGTTTGTTTTGAAATCCATCCCCTAAATTTGGTCATACAAAAGTAGTCTCTAAACATTGGAAATAAGGTCTATAATGTAATGTAATATTAGGGGAGAGCGGTCACCGATGACCGCTTGGGGATCTATGGGTTAAGCCAAAGCTTACTTCTTCAGTTTGTTTTTAAAGGTGAATCTCACCTGCCATATCCATTAGGGAATGTAAGCGTATATTCTTCTCCGGTATCCAACAGCGTGACAGTTCCTTTACCAATATTATGTACTCCGATGGAGAGGCCGAGGAATTTGCTCTTAGTCCACACCCAGGCCTCGAACTGTATACGTTTGTTCACATGCTCCGCGTAGAACGCTGATATTGGCGGGTGGTGGGATACTTGCTCTGCTACGAAGGATAGCTGGTCTGGAGAACACCACGGTACTGGCCCGTCACCCACTTCTTGCTGTGGAGGTCGGGTCGAAGTTTGTGAGTATGAGTGATAAAGATTCTGATAATGAGTACTTAAGTTAAATAGATTTTTTTAAGGGGGGAAATAATCGAATGACTTCTCCCGCCTGGGTGAGGCGAGAGGGAGCGTCAGATCCTTACTGACTAAAAACCACCCCGTTCCTACTTCTGCACATCGAGCCGGAGCCCCGGTAACCCGTTAGGTTCTCCGCGTCTAAGTTAAATAGAATTAAGTTATACTTATATAAGCAGAATTTTAAGTTATTATAAGAAGGTTTTTTGCCTTTCCTTTCTTCTGGCTCTGCTTTTAGTTAGGTTAAGGACTAGATTTATTTGAAATTTTGCACTTCACAACTCGCTGAACATGATACTATGTTATTAGGTTTAGGGCCAATTTTTCAATGCTCAGATCAATTTTAACCGAGAGATAACTTTGAATATTTGACAATTCTTCCATACTAAAAACTGTCAACTTTATTCAACAGTTAAGAATTAACTGATGGTTGAAAAATTGGCTCTTAGTATACCACAGTATTGGTTCGATTCATTCGGGACGACTGTTATAGACGTTCCTTTAACATATTATGTAACCAAACTCAACTTTAAACTTAACATTACTAACATACTTATGGACGTAACAGACTTCAAAATTAAACAACATAAGACACCGACATGTGACAATCAAATATGAACCTTATATTACCAATATCAATAAATACCAGGGCGGGTCAATAAGTCCGTGACTTTTTGATTTTTCCGCCTTTTAATTGAAATGGCAACACTGCTCCCGTCAACAGTCATCTGTCAGATGACTCCTGTCAAAAATTGAACAAGCTGTGACATTTAGTTTGTTTTTAACAGCCGTTAATATCAGACTACCGCGTTGACTGAGAAGAAAATGGAAAAAAGTGAATTTCGTGTGCTCATTAAGCATTATTTTTTGCGGAAAAAATCCATTACGGAAACCAAGGCTAAGCTTGATAAATATTATGGGGACTCTGCACCATCCATTTCCATGGTAAAAAAGTGATTTACTGAATTCCGATGTGGCCGTACCAGCACGGAAGATGCTGAACGTTCTGGACGCCCAGTTGAGATCTCCACATCCGAAACAGCTGAAAAACTACACGATATGGTTTTAGCAGACCGGCGATTAAAAGTGAGAGAGATTGTGGAAGCCATAGGCATCTCGCATAGCTCAGTGGTTTCAATTTTAAACGATTATTTGGGTATGAGAAAGCTTTCCGCAAGATGGGTGCCGCGTTTGCTCACAATCGACCACAAACGCAAGTGTGTGACAATTTCGCAGGAATGTTTGGCGTTGTTCAATCGCAATATGAACGAGTTTTTGCGCCGTTTCGTAACCGTGGACAAAACGTGGATCCACCACAACACACTGGAGACCAAACAGCAGTCAAAACAGTGGGTTTCTCGGAGTGAATCGGCGCCAAAGAAGGCAAAGGTGGGTTTGTCAGCCAATAAAGTCATGGCGACTGTTTTTTGGGATGCACGCGGTATTATCCACATTGACTACCTTCAAAAAGGACAAACAATCAATGACGAATATTACAGCAACTTATTGGGTCGATTCGATAAGGCATTGAAGGAAAAGCGACCGCACTTGGCCAAGAAAAAGTCCTTTTCCACCAGGACAATGCACGAGTGCACACATGTGCAGTTTCTATGGCAAAAATCCATGAATTAGGCTACGAATTGCTCCCTCATCCAGCCTATTCTCCCGATCTAGCCCCTTGTGACTACTTCTTGTTCCCAAACTTAAAGAAATGGCTCGGTGGAAAGAGATTTGCCACCAACGACGAAGTCATCTCACAAACAAACGCCTATTTTAAAGACCTCGACAAAACATATTTTTCGGAAGGGATTAAAAAATTGGAGAAACTCTGGGCCAAGTATATAAAGCTCAAAGGAGACTACGTTGAAAAATAAAATAACTTTTTATCTAAAAAATTGTGTTTCATTTAAAAAGTCACGGACTTATTGACCCGCCCTCGTACTAAAATACAATCCTCACCTTATCATTACTAGAATTGCTCTCAGGCATGCCGTCCAGGTCCCAGTGACATCTGAACACCTCTCCCAGTATGGGATTGTATGGTTTCTTAGCGACCTGGGACTTGCGGCCGGCGTGGTATGAGCTCAGGTACCAACGCACTACTTGTATCATGCGCTCGCGAGGCGTCGGCTGGTCTACTATCCTGAAAAGTTATATGAATTCAAATTATCATTACTAATCTAAGTTGGAGAGCCATGCTTCGGAACGAACGTGTCGACTCGATCGGAGGAATACTACGACCTCACTCACTCCTGTGAAACAACGGTTGCGTTGTATTTCGCAGTCTGAATGAGGTTAGCGGCGGCCCCATCCTCGAATCTTAAATACCTATTCAAATGTCATTATTTTGTTAATGCAGTTTGTCCATGAGCAGCGCTGATTGCTTACCAATAGGCGTTATGTGAATGTGATCCGTTTGCTTGCTTGTCGCAGTTATATTTTTTTAGGAATCCATAACAAAAATCCGTACGGCTTAGTAGAAGTTTCTAGTTTTAAAAGGTTCAGCGGAATCTGTTAAAACTGATAAGACTTACTTAACAAATTGGTCAGGGTGCGCGAAGGAGTCTGCGTACATCTCTAGAAGCGATCGCCTCTCTAGTATAAATGTAGGTAGCACAACCTAAAAACAAGAAAATCATTACATAACATTACGCCTATTTATCCCCGAAGGGGTAGGCAAAGGTGCACATTACGGCACTTAATGCTACTTTATAATGTAACACCCACTTTTCACTATTTATGTTGAGTTCCATGTAATAGGGATTGAACCGTTCTACTCCTGACATTTTTTTAAACCCCAGTAATATCTTGCCCGCCCCGGGAATCCAACCCGAGACCCCTTGACTCGGGAAACAAGGCAGAAATGCCGAACACTTTTAACCGTTGACGTTACTATAAAAGTCCACTTTTGCAGCTGAATAATAATGACGCGTCACTTTACCTTAGTGAGATCCATTCCAATCTTGACCTGTGACAAGAGATGGGTGACCACGGATCCATGGTTCTCCATAGACCCGAGGTCGCTGTCCGACTCGTCCTCGTACAGCGCTGTCAAAAAAATATAAATCATTCAGCTAGAGGTAAAAGGTTTAGTTTCGCTTAATTCCAAGAATGCAATATAGTTTTAAAGATACGTGGTAAGTTATTGTGTTTTTAAATTAAGAAGAGTTTACTTGTACATATGTAGTTGATCCGATATCTCGATCGGAACCCGAATCGGTATGATTTAAAAAAAAGCTGTCTAGACATAAATTGTAGAAAACTGTGAGTAATTTTGTTGTGTAATTCTGTTTTTGGACGCCATTTTTCTATGATGGCGGCGCAAGCGGTGCACGTACAAAGATGCAGAATAGAAATCAAAAATAGCGCATCAAAATGTATAAAATTGCTGATTTTCAAAACTCCCGGAAAATTACAGGTAGAACTACTAAATTACTGAGCTATAAGGGATAATACGGCTCTGAAAATATCGACGACAGACTGATGTACTTTTGATCTGATTTTAATTATTACTTTAACAATGAGTAACACCTTAGAGGTCTTAATCCTTTTATAGAAAACTCGATGATTAGCAACACACACACAACAATCAAGATTACTTAGATCAGTTAACCATACCGAACATATTAACAGAAGCACTAAAGCACACAACTGACGGACGAAAATAATGGGTACTTAAAATATTTATGTGACATTAAACAATAAAGGGCTACCACGTCATTATATGTGTGTATGACATATGATACTCGCGAATAGCCACTGTTCAAAGCATTGTATGCTAATCTGAAGCCACATAAACTCCACTGCTGGTGGGCAGGGACTGTGTCATAGGATATTCCTTGGAAGCGTGAGTGAGGAGTGAGGGGAATGGACGCAAAATGTTCTTGGAAATCTGACACATAATTGCATATGGGATATAGGGAATTTTTAGTAGGTAATGTATAAGTTAATATACTGAATTCTTTGGATCACACTGGCATAAACGGCTGCATATTCTAATGGTTAGCGCCTAAACGAAATTTGTTCTAGATTCCACAAGGTCCGTATAACAAGCTACACCTGACGAAACATTTAAATTATTTACATGGTATTACGTTCATATTGCCAGAGATCACAGAGTATGTGATGTGCCGACTGCTCGTATTGCAACTCCTCTGTCGAACATTGGCACCATGGTGAATCAATAAGTTTAAAAGAGAACAATTTGCTTTTAAAGTTGCCGTGGCTAGTAAGAAATTGGGCAACACAGTGATCCACCTCCAACTATGTCTTCTCCAGCCGCTCATATGCACGGATGGGAAGAACTGTTATAGCTTAATAGAAGATTATAATGGTTACTCAAAACAGCCTTAAATAAAAGAGTAGAATGCTTGCGAGCAGCTGCAAGGTCTTGGAACCCGCAACGCAAATAACAATCAAAAGACATAATTGAAGAAGAAAAGGAAATGTCCAATTTGCATGCAAAGATCGTAGTAAGTGTCGTTCTGTACCTACTGTAGTTTCAGCAGTTAGTGGCATGGTGATGAATGATGCAGTTAATTTTTTTATGGAATAGGAGGCAAACGAGGCGGACCACCTGATGGTAAGCGATCAGCGCCGCCCATGGACACCCGCAACACCAGAGGAGTCACAGGTGCGTTGCCGGTCTTTTAAAAAGGAGTACGCTCTTTTCTTGAAGGTTTGAATGTCGTATCGGTTCAGAAATACCGCCGACGACAGATCATTCCACAGTTTTGCTGTGCGAGGCAGAAAGCATCGTGAGAAGCGCACAGTGTGGCCTGCCAACCATCTATATGGGATAAAGGTGTGGTCATGTCATGTTTGCTCACCATCATAGTCGATCTCTCCATCGCGGGTGCGTGGCAGGTCGACGGTGGGCTGCGCGGAGTCCTGCTCCGGCGCGCCCTCCGCCTGGCAAGTGCGACTAGCGCTGTAACAATACAGAATACAACTTTAGTTATAAAGTAATGAGGTCATTACAGACGACCATAAAACTAAGAGTTTCTCCTGTGTCGTGGGTGCGTTTACAAACATACAAGTTCACATACACATGACACCCAGACCCGAAACAACAATTTGTGGATCACACAAAGAGTCGATGCATGCGGGCATCGAACCCGCGACACGTTGCGCGGCAGCCGGTTGATTATTGCAGGTGACAATTCACGGTAAACATTTAGCATCATTGGAATGTAATTCTAATTCAAGTTGGATCACAAATTTAGAACTTATAGAAGTTAAAAAACAGAAGTTGATGTGTTTTGCGAATCAACCTGTATGAGAACGTTTGGCGATCACAACATAGAGATAGATTTTATAACAGGGTTTTGGTGTACTCAAATAGAGTCGGTCCTCTCACTCTATTTGGGTACACTAAAACCATAAGGGGCGAAACACATAACCACGTTGCGTCGCCGCCACGCTAAAATCGGCAGTTTGCGTTGCGGCGTTGCGGCGTCGTGAAAAAGAACGTTCTATTGTCGTTCGGTAGGGTAACCAGTTCGTCGTGATTTGTTATTGTGGATAGACGTGTCTCTGCTATGGACCATCGTGAAAAAGTTATTGCTTATTTGTTATTAAAAACACCTTTTTTTTTAAGGGGGGAAAATCATCGAATGACTGCTCCCGCCTGGGTGAGGCGGAAGGGAGTGTCAGACTCTTACTGACTAAAAACCACCCCGTTCCTTCTCCTACACGTCGAGCCGGAGCCCCGGTTACCCGTTAGGTTCTCCGCGACATTAAAAAGACATTACTCTGCTATGCTGGAGCTCCGCCGCTTAAATCGGCAGTGACGCTGCTGTAGATTCTAGCGGCGCGGCGCCGCAACGCCGGTATGTGTTTTGGCCTTTAAAAACGCTCCTTGTAATCATACGTCAGTGTCCTATGACGTCACAAATTCGCGTGACAGTGTAACTTCCAAATGTGAGCGCTCATCTAACATTAATGACACTTAGAACTCAATTTTGAAAACGAAATTGCCTCCGTACGTCGTGTAAGGCGACAGATAACGACTATTACGGAAAAAAATGTAATAAGACACTTGGCTAAAAAATTGCCGGTCGCAAAGGATTAATGGGCGCTTAGGAAAAGGATTGATGGTTGTAAAACGGTTGTAATTTAATGAGATTACGTTTGGTTTTTTTGTAGCCGATAATATGTATAAAAAGTTTCTAAACTTCGTTTAAAGGACTAAAACGTGGTTTCATATTTAAGTTTTTGACATTTATATGATTATATGTTTTTAATAAATAACTTAACCACCAGTTTAAGCATTCACAATTATTAAAATGTAATTATACTCCAAATACTTATAATTAATCATTCACTGAATAATATTACATCATAAGTTTTGACTCTATTAAAAATAAATAGCAAACAACTACGAATGACTAACACTGAAAATATTTTAGTGAAAAAATCGAGATCGCATAATTACAGTTTCACGTGTGGTAACTTTGCACGAATACTAATTAACTTTAATACACGAAGACAGAGAACAGAACAATGCACTATATTAATTTATTTTAACGTGTTATATTACATACTGTATATAACATAACATAACATCACGCCTTTTATCCCCGAAGGGGTAGGCAGAGGTGTACATTATGCCACTGTACAATGTAACACCCACTTTTTCACTATTTATGTTCTGAATCCCATGTAATAGGCGGTTAGCCTATTGCCATATACCGGACACAATTCCAACTACTGTGAATTTAATGAAAAACCCAGTAACACTGTATATAACATTGCAGATATTATTATTTCGTGCCTGCTGACTGCCTCGTTGGCCGAGTGGTCGCAAGTGCGACTCGGGCAAGGGGTCTCGGGTTCGATGCGCGGTTCGGGCAAATAATTACTGGGTTTAAAAAAAAATCTCAGTAGTAGCACGGAGTCTGGAATTGTGATTTCAATCCAAGGTTTAATGATGTTTTGGAAGAGTAAATACATGATTATAACATAACCTAGCCTGAAGCAAGCGTGGGGTTGCAAAGGTTAAATGTGGGAGTAGGAAGGTTTGAGCTATACCTTTTAAAGTGTAGTCAGAATTACGTCTCAAGTTTATATCAGTTTAGATTGTGGTTGTACCCTTAGGTAATATGTCTGCAAAGAGGGTAAATCTCTCTTTGAGGAAAATCTGCATACATTAAAACGTGTAGGCGCGATTTTATGTTGGTTAGTGTTATTGAAGTAGATGTTCATAAACTGCGTAAGGAGACATTTGATTTTTTTGTAGTAATATAATAAAATTTCAAATGTGAGAGGAATGAAAACCCCAACGCCTTTTAGCTGTGAATGGTTTACGACTGATGACGATGACAATGGAGATGGTTATTCAAAATTCATTATATCAATATCATCGTTATAAAAATCATATAGCGGGGTTAATACGACGTCCTAAAGTCAGCACACTTCCACTGTCAAACACAGCGAGGACACCAGTGACCGCAACTTATTGTTCTTTAATTGTGTCTATAATGACGGTACTCAAAGAGTTAAGGGAAAGTAACAGAGCTATACAAGTCGTCTAGCGAGATCTCGTTCCCTCAGCGGAACCACTCTGGCTCTGAG